ACACTAATCAAGCTTCTTATACCCTCTCAAAGCTTTGTGGGTGTGGCCGAAGTCCTATGAGTTTTCGGTTTTGGAGCTTCTAAACGGAAAAACACTACTTTAGCTTACGGGATCCGGTTGAGGTTCTAGTTCTTATACCCAATCATACACACGAGATCTAGTCATATTGACTCCAAAAACACTAAACAAGCTTCTTCTTGCATATCAAAGCTTTGTGGGTGTGGCCGAAGTCCTATGAGTTTTCGGTTTTAGAGCTTTTAAATTGAAAACACTACTTTAGCTTACGGGATCCGGTTGCGGTTCTAGTTCTTATACCCAATCATACACACGAGATCTAGTCATATTTGACTCCAAAAACACTAACCAAGCTTCTTATACCCTCTCAAAGCTTTGTGGGTGTGGCCGAAGTCCTATGAGTTTTCGGTTTTGGAGCTTCTAAACGGAAAAAACACTACTTGAGCTTACGGGATCCGGTTGAGGTTCCAGTTCTAATACCCAATCATACACACGAGATCTAGTCATATTTGACTCCAAAAACACTAAACAAGCTTCTTATTGACCTATCAAAGCTTTGTGGGTGTGGCCGAAGTCCTATGAGTTTTCGGTTTTAGAGCTTTTAAACCGAAAACACTACTTGAGCTTACGGGATCGGGTTGAGGTTCCAGTTCTAATACCCAATCATACACACGAGATCTAGTCATATTTGACTCCAAAAACACTAATCAAGCTTCTTATACCCTCTCAAAGCTTTGTGGGTGTGGCCGAAGTCCTATGAGTTTTCGGTTTTGGAGCTTCTAAACGGAAAAACACTACTTTAGCTTACAGGATCCGGTTGCGGTTCTAGTTCTTATACCCAATCATACACACGAGATCTAGTCATATTTGACTCCAAAAACACTAACCAAGCTTCTTATACCCTCTCAAAGCTTTGTGGGTGTGGCCGAAGTCCTATGAGTTTTCGGTTTTGGAGCTTCTAAACGTGATATCTCTGTATTTTACCACCTTTTAGCACACTTTTCTTGTGCATTTAGCTAAGTTTTGCATCTCTTTCATTGCATCTAGAGTCCTTTTTATATCATTTTCATCACTTAGCACGATTTGCATTGCATGGCATAGCATGTTGCATATTGGATGAGTTTCAGGTGCTTTGGAGCTTATTTTGGGACTTAATGGAGCAAGGAGGAGCCACACAACCTTGGAGCTGGACTTGGGATCGAGTTGGAAAGGAATGAAGCCATTCAAGAGCATCCAGGACAGACTCGACCTACCAGGCTCGACGACATGTCGAGTAGGACGTGAAGAAGCTGAGGAGGAGCAGACTCGAGGTGGTGGACTCGACGACACGTCGAGTTGGTCATCCAGGCGCCACCTTTGAAGAAGGACAGGCTCGACGTGGCAGGCTCGATGTCACGTCGAGTTGGTCTCCGCCGACTCTCTATTTTGTCCTGTAGCTAATTAGGGCAACCTAGTATTTTCTATAAATAGGGGTTCACCCTTTTATCCAGCGGATATTCCTTTTACCCAGCAGATATTCCGCTGTTCTCTCAAAAACCCTAGATTTTGTAATCGTTTTTCCTGTTGATCCTTTGAGTTTTTGAATTTCGTTTCTTCATCAAAGTTGTAGATCTCCTTCTAATCTATAACATACTTGCTTTTTAATGATTTCTGGGTTTATGCAATTTTCTGGGTTTTTATGCATGATGTTCTTTAGTGTTCTTGAGTAGTGGATTAGGGTTCTTGAGGATGGGTTAGATTAGGTCACTACAAGAAAACCTGCGTTTTGCAACTAAACTTTGCGACCGAATTATTAGTCGCAAATGTTTGCGACTATTTTGTGACTTCTGAACGACCATTTAGCGACCACAATATTTACAGATGGAATATAGTCGCTATTCTACGACTAAAACAAATAGTCTTTACTTAGTCGTTAATTTGCGACAATTTTAAAACTGATTACATACTAATTTATTATAGTCGCAAATGGGTGGTTGATATGAGACTGATGTGCGACTCAACTTTTGGTCTCAAATGATCGTCGCAATTGAGTCTCAAAAGAGCGACTAGTTAACAACCACCTGTTATAGTTACACTTTAGTTGCAAATTAGTTGGAAAGAGTTGGCTCAAAACACGTTGAAATGCAGAGAAAGCGACCGGTTTGCGACTAGCACCTGAAGATTTTGCGACTGACACCTGAGAAAGCGACCGGCTTGCGACTATTTACCAACTATCGATTTTTGGTTTTACAAATTTCACATTTTAAATTTGTTTACATATAAAGTTAAACAATTCTACACTAATTTGATGTTACTTAGTAATAAAAACAAAACCAGAGTCATATATATTGATGTTTACAAACAAAACATTCAAAACTACCAAATCTCTTTGTCTTGTTACATTACTCTTATGAGTAATGTTTAGAGATTTAGTAAAATATCTATATTACTTGGGTTTTGCAAAGTTTTTCAACCTTAAACTAATATATGTCCTCTATAACACTAATATGAGTGTTTGTGAGTGATATATATCACCCTTTTGGATCACAATGTGTAGATTTCTAAATTTTGTCTTGTGACTAATAGATAACAGTCACAAAACAGTCGCAAAAGTGCCACCATTTTGTAACTATTGTTCATTTAGCGACTATTTTGCGACAAATATTGTAACTATTTGCCGACCAATGTTGCGACTATTTTGATACTAATTGTGAAATTTCTAAGATTTTTGCTAAGTGTTTGGTCGAACTTAGTAATAAGAACTCAACCAAGATCATAAATTTTGATGTTTACTAACAAAACATTCACAAGTACCAAATCTATTTATACTTTTACATTACTCATATGATTAATGTTTAGGGATTTAGTAAAATATCTATATTACTTGAGTTTAGCAAAGTTTTTCTACCTAAAACACTTTTATATCCTCTATACCACTAATATGAGTGTTTGTGGGTGATATATATCACCATTTTTGATCACAATGTGAAGATTTCTAAATTTTGTCTTGTGACTAATATAAAACAGTCACAAATGAGTCGCTAAATTGGGACTAGTTTGGGACCCCTGTCCATTTAGCGACTGTTTTGGGACGTATCTTCTGACTATTTACCGACCAATATAGCGACCATTTAGCTACGGTTTGTGAAATTTCTATGATTTTGGCTAAGTGTTTGGGCGGTTTCGATTCCCCCCATTTTTTTTGGTTTGTCACTAGTTTGCGACTAAAGAGCGACCAATACACTTAATTATTAGGTTAAAACAAAGTCGATCCTACCCTATACACACCAAATATTCTCAGTTAAATGAAAAGCCCCTGATACTAGGATTTTTACTATCAATTACCCTAGATTACTATCATGTCATTGCAGCAATTTAGGTTATCAATCCAATCAGGTGCTCTAATTATCAATCAAGATGTGATCAGAGAATACTAAGTCAAGCCAAGCAGAATAGAGGTTTGTTTATCTAGCAATCCTAAGCGAACATGCAATAAAACGATAAAACTACAGAACAGGAGTGAACATGCATAAAGAGAAATAGCTATCAATACTAAGCAATAAGCAAGCAGCAAGTACAGAGAATAGGTAAACAACAAGTAAACAAGATTCAATCAATCAATAGAGATAAAGGATCCTGAGGAATGGGATAATCGATTATAGCAGTCTCCTTAGTCTATCTAGGTGGTTAACAAACTCAATCAAGCTATCCCTAGACAATAGATTCAAATACAAATCAATCCACTCTCGTGACAGAGATTCTCAAGCTAAATCACTTTCATACTCAATTCTCATTGAAGAAACATAACCTAGCAGGCATTATGATTCAATCTAATCTAGTCAATAAGCATTCTAAACATCCAATCTCTTGGGCTAGAGTATGCAAATCTCTGGAAAAGTTTGTTCAGACATTTCATCAAACACCTTTTGGGTGTGGAAATGTCTGAGATCTATTTCCAATTGATCAGAGAAGAAATAGCATTAAGATCTACTAAACCAGAAGGGAAATCAAGCAATTCTACACTTAACCACCTAAATATACTAAAGATTCCACACCTAATCTAACCCATCCTCAAGAACCCTAATCCACTACTCAAGAACACTGAAGAACATCATGCATAAAAACCCAGAAAATTGCATAAACCCAGAAATCATTAAAAAGCAAGTATGTTATAGATAAGAAGGAGATCTACAACTTTGGTGAAGAAAAGAAATCCAAAATCTCAAAGGATCAAAGGGAAAAACGATTACAAAACTAGGGTTTTTAGAGAGAACGGCTCAATATCCGCTGGGTAATAGGAATATCCGCTGGATAAAAGGGTGAACCCCTATTTATAGAAAATACTAGGTTGCCCTAATTAGCTACAGGACAAAATAGAGAGTCGGCGGAGACCAACTCGACGTGACGTCGAGCCAGCCACGTCGAGACTGCCCTTCTTCAGAGATGGCGCCTGGATGACCCTCTCGACGTGTCGTCGAGCCAGCCACGTCGAGACTGCTCCTCCTCAGCTTCTTCACGTCTCACTCGACTGCACGTCGAGCCTGGTAGGTCGAGACTGACACTTGGTGGCTTCTGGGCACTAGCTCGACCTCCTGTCGAGCCCATGACGTCGAGACCGGTTCTGGATGCTCTCGATTGGCTTCATTCCTCTCCAACTCGATCCCAAGTCTAGTTCCAAGGTTGTGTGGCTCCTCCTTGCTCCATTAAGTCCCAAAGTAAACTCCAAATCACCTGAAACTCACCCAATATGCAACATGCTATGCCATGCAATGCAAAACGTACTAAGTGATGAAAATGATATGAAAAGGACTCTGGATGCAATGAAAGAGTGATAAAACTTAGCTAAATGTATGAGAAAAGTAAGCTTAAAAGTGGTAAAATAGAGAGATATCAGCCCCCTCTCTATTACTCTTCATCCTCGACACTTCAGAAAAAAAAAAAACCCTATTCTCACCCTTCATCCTCGACATCTCCGACCAAACCACTCTCAAACCCTAGACTGCGATATCTTAAACTTCACCCTCCGCATCTCCGACCATCACATGGCTTCCTCCGGCCAAGAGAATGACCGTCGCCAACGTCCATCCGACTCGGGTCCGGCAGGTACTGTTTATGACTCTTCTCCTTCTCGTGATTTGTAAATGCTTGATTTTGTTTTATTTGCTCGATTTCATATTAGATCTGCTGTTATTTTTGATGTTTAGGGCTGTATAGTGTTCGATTACAACCAGTTTTTAACTCGATTTCTCTCTTGGCTCTGTTTATTCCATGTTAGCTTCATTTCTCTGTTTCTCTAGGTTTTTTGGTTTGATTTTAGGTTAGTATATTACTTCAGATGATGTTTATAATTGCTTTTTCGAATTTCAAAGTGAAAAAGGTTTGATTTGTCTTTAATTTGTTCTAATCTGATTGTTAAATAAAGATTCTAAGAAACGAGTGTGTTAGTATAGTGGCTGCTCATCTAATTTGCTTAAGTTTGTGTTTGTATATTGATTCTAAGAAACTACTGTGTTTGTTGTATCTCTGTTATTATTTGTTTAAGTATGTGCTTGTTCTTTACTTCTAATTTACCTTTCAATAACTAGTGTTTCCTTTCCCTAAGTTAACCTATGATAGCATATCAGCATATAATCTCAAGGATAGCATTCTCCTTGAGATGGTAAATGGTCTTCTAATTTTCCAATGTTATTAGTTTTTGCTTCTACATTTCGACTAATATTCCTCTTTATTTTTGTACATGGTTAAGGCTGGTTTGGATGGCATGGGCACGGTAATGAATGAGCTGTCTAAAAGCATAGTTAAATGCTCTTAGTGCAGTTTCTGGTGGGCAATTCTTCAGCAGCCGTCAACTAGACATGCCGTGCAAGAACACCTCATAACAGCTGCTGCCACAACCGGGACCTTGGTCAGGAAGGGTATAACTGAGACAAAGGAAAAGGTTTCCGTTGGAAAGATCAAAATGGAAGAGGTATAGCTTCTTGAATTGACTTGACAAGAATGTTTGTCGCTTCATTTTATAACTTCTGACACCTAAATTCTTTGATCTTTGTTTTCTCTTAGGCAGCCAAAAAGACTGCACAAAAAAGCAAGACCATTTTGACGGACATCGAAAGGTGGCAGAAGGTACTTGAGTCTGAAATCTGATTGTATGCCGTTGATTTGAAGTTTGGTCTCTAATATCTATTGTTTGTAAATCTGCAGGGAGTTGCCAGCTCAGATGGTAAGTTAATCGCAATTTATGGAGAGAATACAGTTTATAAACATTTAGTTAATCGAAAGGTCAATTGATTCTTTGATGGAGGGTAGTGGGGATACTTAATCCTCTTATAAGTCCGTTCTTGAGATAACTATTAGTTATTAAGATTCTGCTCTGCTTGTTTGAAATGCTGTAACTTTCTCTATATGACGTTTTTTTTGGCACTCAGTGTTTGGTGTTCCGATTGAGATCATTGTCCAGCGGCAAGAGTCAAGCAGGCCTATACCACTGATACTGATTAAATGCGCAGATTATCTCATATTAACAGGTAATAATGTTTGGACCAATGGATCACAAACCTTTTATTGCTCTTACCTTCTCATATCGAGTTATCAATGTGATATTTTCCTCTTACCAGGGCTTAATTCACCGAACTTGTTCAAAGCCGAAGGAGATAAAAAGTTGATTCAACAATTGGTTTCTGCTTACAATCAAGGTAGCCGACATTCTAACAAGATTTGCCTCGACTCTTATAGCTTAGTGAGAAATTGTAATTTGATTGAATCACTTGTTTGGCAGATCCTAGTGCGTCAATGCCTGAGGGTGTGAATCCAGTTGATGTCGCTGCACTCATGAAATACTATCTTGCCACCCTTCCGACACCCTTCCAGGCACCATAGGAGCTGCAGTCCAACCAGCAGGACACACCACTGGAACCACACCAACCTCTCCTCTATCTAACACCGCCTCAAATCATTCAACTTGATTTTAGTTTCCTTTTGTCTGTGTATGTGAACTTATTAGGATATGTTATGCTTTGATTAGGATAGTTTTTGAATGGTTTGGAATGGTACTTGATTGATATTTGAATGGTTTTTGAATGCATTTGCTTTTGAAATGGACAGGTTTCGGACTAATAAGATGTAACCATTCTGTGACCAAAAAGTTTCAGAAATTCTGACTAGTTTGTGACCAGAACAATTAACAAATGTGACCAAACTGTGACTAAACAAATTTACAAATAACTCCAAATCTCGTATCAAAATGGTTACTAATAAAGGACTATATTGTCACCATAATAAATGAGTCCTAAAATAGTCGCACATTTGCAACGATATTCACCTGTCACAGATTAGTCGGTAATTTGCGACGATATATTTATAGTCGCAAAATAGTCGCAAATTAGCGACTATAGTGATACACGGAAATTTTGCGACCGTTTTTTTGCGACCAATGGAAATAGTCGTTATTCAGTTGCAAAACCCTCTTTTGCGACCGTTTAGCGACTAATATCACAGTCGCAAATGAAGTGTTTTCTTGTAGTGGGTGTGGAATCTTTAGTATATTTAGGTGGTTAAGTGTAGAATTGCTTGATTTCCCTTCTGGTTTAGTAGATCTTAATGCTATTTCTTCTCTGATCAATTGGAAATAGATCTCAGACATTTCCGCACCCACAAGGTGTTTGATGAAATGTCTGAACAAACTTTTCCAGAGATTTGCATACTCTAGCCCAAGAGATTGGATGTTTAGAATGCTTATTGACTAGATTAGATTGAATCATAATGCCTGCTAGGTTATATTTCTTCAATGAGAATTGAGTATGAAAGTGATTTAGCTTGAGAATCTCTGTCACGAGAGTGGATTGATTTGTATTTGAATCTATTGTCTAGGGATAGCTTGATTGAGTTTGTTAACCACCTAGATAGACTAAGGAGACTGCTATAATCGATTATCCCATTCCTCAGGACCCTTTATCTCTATTGATTGCTTGAATCTTGCTTACTTGTTGTTTACTTATTCTCTGTACTTGCTGCTTGCTTATTGCTTAGTATTGATAGCTATTTCCCTTTATGCATGTTCACTCCTGTTCTGTAGTTTTATCGTTTTATTGCATGTTCGCTTAGGATTGCTAGATAAACAAACCTCTATTCTGCTTGGCTTGACTTAGTATTCTCTGATCGCATCTTGATTGATAATTAGAGCACCTGATTGGATTGATAACCTAAATTGCTGCAATGACATGATAGTAATCTAGGGTAATTGATAGTAAAAATCCTAGTATCAATTTGGCGCCGTTGCCGTTTGGGTGTCTGCTTGTTACATTCAAGATTTTAGAATTGCTAAGATCAAGTTCTTTCTTAACTTTGGTTACTAACTCTTCATTTCATCTGCTTGTTTTTGTGCTCCAGGTACCTACTCGACCTCAAGTCGAGTCTGCACGTCGAGACTAACCACTTTGCATGCAAACTCGTTCTAAAGGCTCCAGCAACCTCATCAGCTACAAAGACAACATCGATCGGTTAGCTCGTGAGTTGAGAGAACGTCGAGCCAGAGACGATTGTGAACCGCACAATCCAGTAGCCATGGAACCACAAGATCAAGATAATCAAGGAGTTGGTATACCACGGAACATTGGTGATGGTGATGCACCACACAACCATCAACAGAGACAGGGCATCGTTCCACCTCCTGTCCAGAACAACAATTTCGAGATCAAGAGTGGATTGATCTCAATGATTCAAGGTAACAAGTTTCATGGGTTGCCTCTGGAAGATCCCTTGGATCACTTGGATAATTTTGATAGGCTCTGCAGCCTCACCAAGATAAATGGTGTTAGTGAAGACAGTTTCAAGCTGCGTCTGTTTCCCTTCTCGCTGGGAGACAAAGCACACCACTGGGAGAAAACACTACCTGCTGGCTCCATCACATCTTGGGACGATTGCAAGAAGGCCTTCTTAACAAAGTTCTTCTCAAATTCAAGAACTGCACGTCTAAGGAATGAAATCTCCAGTTTCACCCAAAAGCAGTCTGAATCCATTTGTGAGGCCTGGGAGAGATTCAAAGGCTACACTATACAGTGTCCACACCATGGTTTCAAGAAGGCTTCACTACTCAGCACACTCTACAGGGGAGTTTTGCCCAAGATCAGAATGTTACTAGACACTGCCTCTAATGGGAATTTCTTGAACAAGGATGTTGAGGAAGGCTGGGAATTGATAGAGAACTTAGCTCTATCCGATGGTAACTATAACGAGGATTTTGATCGCTCCAACAGAGGTATTGGAGATCCGGATGCGAAGCATAATAAGGAGATGATTCAGGCTCTCAACGATAAGATGGATAAATTTCTGCTTAGTCAACAGAAGCAGGTACACTATATCACTGAAGAAGAGCACTATCAAATCCAAGAAGGGGAGAATACTCAGGCTGCAGAAGTCAGCTACATTCAGAACCAAGGTGGCTACAACAAGGGCTACAACCCCTACAAGCCTGCTCATCCTAATCTATCTTACCGGAGCACGAATGTTGCAAACCCTCAGGATCAGGTTTACCCTCAGCAACAACAGAACCAGTCCAAGCCATTTGTACCATACAATCAAGGCTTTGTCCCAAAGCAGCAGTTTAGTGGAGGTTATCAACAACATAATCCACCACCCGGTTTTGCACAGCAACCCCAACAAGCTCCACCTGCC